CTGCAGCTTGACCCTCGGCCCGTCAGTCAGCTGCAGCGCGCGGCTGTAGAACTCGACGCCCACGGTGGGCTCCGGCTCGGACTCGGTCTCCAGCCCAGGCGCCCCCGCCACGTAACGTCGCAGCAGCGACGTCTTGCCCACCGCTGCCTCTCCAAGCAGCGCGATCCGAAACTGGTAGCGGCAATCCCAGGTCTCCATAGCCAAATCCCGAAACGCCGTCCTCGGGGCTATTTGTCTGGCCCCGCCCCTGCCCGCCGGGTCCTCCTCCTTCAGCCGATCGCTGCTTCCCGCCCTGAGCGAAGGGTCACCAGCAGACAGAGGATGGGGGGGACCATGGGACATTTTCAACACAGAGAAGATCAGACCCCAAGGAGTTGGGATGAAGGAAGTCATTTCTTCTGTAAAAAGTTTTCCCTTCTGCAGCTGGGGTTGTGGCTCAGCGGTAGAGCGCTCGCCTAGCAGGTGCGAGGTTCTGGGTTCCACCCTCAGCACCACATAAAAATAAATAAATAAAGGCATAAAAATAAATAAATAAAGGTATTGTGTCCAACTGCAACTAAAAAATAAAAACAATTTTAAAAAAGAATTAAAAATTTTTTCACTTCTGTAAAATAGGGCTAATAATCCCTACTCCACTGGATAGAGAGATTAAGCTGGATAGTGGGGAGGAGGAATACGGAAAGCTTGGCCAAGCAAGCATTGGCCTGAGAGATCAAGGGTGCTGGAACATCCATTCATTGATCCACTCACTGGAGTGGTGTCTCTCTCCAGCCCCCTGCCCTGCTGGTTCTGGACCGAGGACATCACTGTGGTGCCCCTTTCCTGGAGCCCTATTAGACCTGCCTGGGACTTCCAGCTCAAGGTTCAGGTTCAATGTTAAACAGTTCCCCTCCTTCTACCATGCAGGTCAGTGCTGGAGAGCAGGCTCCCGGAGGGAATTTGAACAAACTCTGCCTGAAAGCAAAAGTAACCAAAACAGGGAAAGACCTTGACGAATCAATGGTGCTTTTTATTATCAAGTAGCTGAGGGACACATTTTCAGGGGAGAAAATGGCAACTGGTTACAAGAGGGGGTCTGATTTTTTTTTTTTTTTAAATAGGGTTTAAGTGAGACTTGACTCACAGCAGAGTTCCTAGGTTGGGCAGTCAGGGGGAACAGTTGTCCAAGTTCAAAGCCTTTGTTGCTGGGAAATGGTGAAAGTCCAAAGCCCATTGTTTTCCTTCTATCCCTGAACCCATTGTCCTTCTTTCTCCCTGGGGGTTGTTTTCTTTTTTCCTGGGGATTGCTGTCTTCCATATCCTTCACTGCCATCTGCAACTCTAGTGGTACAGCTGGTCCGATGACATTTATGAAGCCAGATGATCATTTCTTTGTGCTTTATGTAGTAACCCTTTGTATATGGGGATGGAAAGTGGGGATTGTACCCAGGGGCCCTCCACCACTGAGATACATCCCCAGCCTTTCTTTTTGATACACGGTTTCTCTAAATTGGTAGAGGCTGACCTTGACCTTAGGATCTTTCTGCCTCAGCCTCTGCAGCAGCTGGGATTACAGGCTTGTACCAGTGTGAGGAGTCTTACCAATTTGTTTTTGCAAATTGGTGGTTTGAGGAACTGTTGAAATCATGATGTCATTATATTTTTTCTTTGCACAACCTTGTGTATAGGTGGCACTATTCTGCTCATTGTTACAGAGGAAGAAAAAAACAGACTCAGAGAAGTTAAATATCTAATTTAGGCTCACTCAGCAAGGAAGACAGACTAGCTGCCAAGTTTACTCAAGACCAAAGCTTTGTTTACTCTTTCTGTTTCTAACTGGAGAGTTTGGGGATCTGAGAAAAGCCAGGTTTTTCCTGACTGATTCTAAACATCTCAGTGGGAAGCCATTTTATCAGTTTTCCAAGTAATTCTGGCCAGAGCAGCTGGGCAAAGGCAGAGCTGTAGGAAATTGACCTTGGAAATGCTGCTTGAACCCAGCCTCCCAGAAGCCTTTCTGGTCAGCTCATGTGACAGTGCACTCACTGTCAGCATCTTGAACTTCCTCCCTCTCCCAGACCCTCCAGCTGTGGGTTGGGGTCATGTGTCTGCCTATGATTGCATGGGCCAGCAGAATCTAGACATCAGCTAGTCTGCCCTAGAATCACTGTGTGACCCAAGAGGCAAGCTATTTCCCTTCTCTGAACCCTGTTTTCTTTCTGCTAAGCAAGGCAAATCATGGACCCACCTTACAGGGTGGTTCTGGAGGCACTGTGTGTTGCAATAGCAAAAGTTCTGCACATTCTCATCAGATAGATCTGGGTTGTAGTTCTGTCCTGGAGAAGAGACATTTCCAGAGAAGAATCCAAGGAATTCCCAGAGGGGAGGGGAAATTTGACTCAGGACCAGCAGGGTTCTTGGGATATGTGAAGGAAAAGAATTTCAGCTCAAGTCAGACAAAAGCATAAACAGAGGTTTATTTAGGAAGTAGACAGGCTTTCAAGGGAGAATGCAGGTTATCTGGAGCGAGAAGACCCTCCTTGGGTTGAGATGAGTTGAATATTTATAGAAGCACTGTAGTTAGACTTTGGATTGGAGGTGGAGCTGCACAATTTTTGGCGTGTTTTCCCTGGGTTTGGGCATTTTCCTCATTTTACAAGGGCATTGACCAAGGGCGGCATGTCACTCAAGATTTACAACTGTGTTTTCTGCATCTCATGGCTTGAGTGCATTTCCTTTAAGACTCATTATTTCCGCTGGGGCTCAGTGTTAGAGTATTTGCCTAGCATGTGTGAGGCTCTGGGTTTGATTCTCAGCACTGCACATAAATAAACAATAAAATAAAGAAAAATTTGTTTTAAAAAAGACTCATTATATCTCTCTTTTTATCCTAAATCCCTATCTCATTCAGCCTAGACTTTGGTCCCTTAATCTTAAGGGTTGGTGAGGGGTGAAGATCCTTCAGTGACTGCTTCAGGCTGGCAAGGGGCAATGACCCTGCCTAGTCAGGAAGCTAAAGTATCATCTGGGTGTGGTGGTGCATGCCTGAAATCCCAGAGGCTCCAGAGATTGAGGCAAGAGGATCGCAAGTTCAAAGCCAGCCTCAGCAAAATTGAGGTGCTAAGCAACTCAGTGAGACCCTGTCTCTAAATAAAATACAAAATAGGGCTGGGGATGTGGCTCTGTTGCTGAATACCCCTGAGTTCAATCCCCAGTAACCCCCCAAAATACACACACAAAAATAAAACAAAGAATACAATCAATAATAAATGCTGAAGAGGATATGGAGAAAAAAGGAACATTTTTACACTGTTGGTAGGATTGTAAATTAGTACAGCACTATGGAAATAAGTATGGAGGTTCCTCAAAAGACTAGGCATGGGCTGGGTACTGTAGTGCATGCCTGTAATCCTAGTGACTCTGGAGACTGAGGATGGAGGATGGTAAGTTCCATCCAGCCTCAGCAGTTTAGGGAGGCCCTTGGCAACTTAATGAGACCCTGTCTAAAAATAAAGAGCTGGGGATGTCAGTCATCACTGACTTACCTCCCTTCCACCATACAGAAAAATGAACTCAAAGTAGATTTTTTTTTTCTTTTTTGGGGTGGTGTTGCAGGGGGTGGGGTTTGCAGAGAATTGAACCCAGGACCTCATTCATGCTAAGTACACAAACCATCACTGAGCTACACCCCCAGCCCCCCAAACTAAAAACCTTTGCTATTAACACCCTGGCTGGTGTGTTGAGACCATATGGAAGGGGTAGGGGCCAATGGTTGAATCTGAGAGACTAGTTGGGAAATTACTGCTACCACTTAGGTGAGCAGGTGAGTGACAGTGGTAGTATCTGTGGAGGCAGTAAGAAACGGTCAGATTCTTGATGCATTTTTAAGGCACAGCACATAGGATTTGCTGACGAATTGAACATGGAATATTACAAAAAGACTGGAGTAGAGGGTCTCTTCAAGGACATGCCAAAACGGGGAAGAGCAGCTGTTGTGTTCTAAGAAGCCTATTAGACCTCTAGGTGATGTCAAGGAAGATTCAGAGGGTTAAGTTTGGAGCTTGGGAGAGAAGTGGAGCTGGAAATGCACATTTGAAAGTCTTGAGTTTCAAATCCAATCAGAATCTGTTGTCTTCTCCAAAAAATGAGAATACTAGTAGAACCTACTGTTTTTTTTTTTTTTTGCTTTTTCTTTTGAACTAAGCTCTTCTTAGGTTGCGGAGGTAGGTCTCCAGCTCCCCAGATAGCTGAAACTACAGGCGCAGGACCGCGCCCTGCTAACCTAGTTATTAAGGTGTACGTCAGGTAAAAAATTACCAGATTAAGTTGTTTGGCAACTACTATTGGTATTTTTATGTTGACGCTTACTCATTTATTCCATGGGTAAAATATAGCACAAAAACATACTGTAGTGACTGTGTGATCTCTGGGCTTGACTATCACTCACTAGAGAGCCATTCCGCAATTTCCTTTAGAAAATGAGCAGAACTATGATACCTACACACAGAGTTGTTACGAAAACTAGATGAGATAACCGAGCTCAGTGTTAACAGAAAGCACTCAGCAAAGTTATATGTTAGCGGATGAGACAAGCCTTAAACAATGCATCAATCTGAGTCTTCAATCGCCTCCTTTGAGAAGCACTCCCAAGACCTCCACTCCAAAACCTCACTGTGCCCTTGCGGAAACCCTTTCAGTTGCTACTCCAGGTATCCCAAGGCGCGCCGAGTCAAGCCCTTTCACAGCTCAGCGGGATAATCGAAGGTCGCTCCAGAGACTGAATTTGGAGGGCAAGACCAGTAAGCTTCAGTTGTGAGCCCAGGGCCCTGGACTGGATGTGGGCAATCCGAGGATCCGGAATCGAGCCGAAGGAACCACTCCGGCCCAGCAGAAACCACACACTGCCCGCCACGCGCGTGGGGCTGCGCCTGGGCGCGCGGACTACAGATCCCAGCAGCCCCGCGCGGCGCTCAGGAAGCGCAGGCGCAGTCGCAGACTGGGCATATATAAGCCCGCTGCCGGCGCCCATGCGTCCTTTCTCCTGTCTCTCGCGCTGGTGGTGTCTGGGCCTGGAACCACGAGTCCGGTGCCCTTAGCCGTCTTAGCTTGCTTCCATGGGCCCGCGCTCGTTCGGGCTGCCTCTAGAGACTGCGGGATGTAGAGTGCCTGGCCGCGCGTCTTGGCCTGGGCTACAGGCCACGACGGCCGCCTGCGCAGTGTGACGGGTCGGCACCCGCGGGGCGGTGTCCTTTTCCCGTCTTTGCTGGCGCAGCCGTACGCTGGCGCCTGACCCGTGGATGAGGCGAGCGGGCGGCCCGGTGCTGGAAACGAGTTGGGTATGTAATTAGGCACTTGGGGTTGAAGTCTTGGGCCTCAGATCACCTAATTTAGGTAATAACACCAATCGGTGAGCCTGAGAACTGCTGCGTGACCTTGGACAATTGACTTTAACTATTAGGAGAATTCTAGAAGGTATCTTGGTGTGAATGTAAGGACAAGATTTTCAGGAGGAGGGTTTTGGAGTCGTTCAGACGCTCTTTTTCCTGCCCCCCCCCCCCCCCGGGGCCCTTCCCCCCCTCTGAGGTGCTTGGGATTGAACCCACATGCTAGGCAAGCACTCTGCCACCGAGCGGCATCTCCAACCCTTTAAAATGATTCTTTGAGATTGATCTAATACAAAAGACTGGTACACAGTACAGCCCTTAGGGCCTACAGGATGACTAGTGTCCTTTGGTAGCCAATGATGCACAGGATTTAGGTGAATTAGGAAGGATAAGTGTGGTTTGGCTTTGAGGTTCTGTGGTCTCCATTGCCCCCTGGCCCTTATCGAAGCTGCAGCTGCTTCCACATAGCTGCTGTGGTCAAAAAGGAGCCCAGAGCAGCAGTTTTCCTTGACGGTCGCCGTTCTGTTTGCTGTAACTGATCTGCAACATTTTGGGAAAAGACAACTTCATTGTTCTTGCTATTTCTTAGGGTTAGCTGGAGACCTTTATTAATATTGAACGTAGAGTTATCAGGGTGAGGTGTTTTGAAAAATAACTAGTTGAGCCCAGGAACCAGAATGAAAGGGCATTTGGGAGTGTGTGGGATCCTGTCCTGGAAAGATCAGTGGCACAGAGAATGGCAGTGCTTTGGTCTCTGTCCTGAAAAGCTAAGTCATCAGTATCAGGATTAAAAGCCAGGCAGACCTTTATGATTGGATGAAGGAAATGCTAAGATCAATCAGGACAGTTGTGCTGTCTTTCATCTTAGCCATGCCAGATCAAGATGCTATGAAGATGGTGGCGAGTGAGGGTCATGGTGATGAAATGCGACAACTTCAGGACTTGGTAAGTTACTTTTGGAGCTACGTGGGGAGCTCCCTGGTGGTACAGTACAGCATGTTTCCAAGGGCTGTGGCTGGTTGTGGCCATGGGATCTCCAACTGCATGCAAGAACAACTGGAGAGACTTTGACAGCTCAGGTCAGCACAATACCTGCAGCTGCCACTCACCTTTCCTATAAAGTCATCAGGACCTGGGTTGGAAGCCTGCTACACCAGGTCCAGGTGTGTTCCATGAACTTCCATGTAGGCAGTTGTACTGGATCAACTGATTTAGAGCCTTCACAATAAGCTTTGATTCTGCAGGTTGCCCCCAGGTTTCCTGGAAGTGTGTGATATTGAAGAGTGAAAAGACCAGCTTGTTTCTGGAGTTGTGCTTTAGATTAAGGTAAAGTTACCATGGTAAAGTTACATTTTGACCCTCTGGTTCCCTTTCCCATCGGATCTGAATACTGGTCTTGGTGGTCGTAAAAGGAGGAAAAGTAATACTGAAGCTGGCCTTAACGGTGTTCTAGTCTGTTTTCTAACACATGGGCTAATTTCAAACAGGAGTGAATTCTCTTTGAAATTGTTTGCTCTTCCCCTGTACAATGGAGGATAAGAGGATGAGTGTGATGCTGTGTGCATTTGATTAGGAATTGCTGGATAATGTTGTATTTGAGGGGTGTTTTCTTCTCTCTTGATAGAGGGCGTCTTTTTTTTTTTTTTTTAAAGGTCTTTGTAACCAGAAAGTTGTCTTCATCTGTGATAATTGGCTACAGAGTTGGGTGAGTAAATTACTACCTGAAGTTTATCACACCTTCCTTCTAGCTTCAGGCAGTGCTATACTATTGCAAACCCTGTCCTTAAGCAGTGTAACAGATATTACTTAAAAAGTGTTCAAAAAAAATGTCACTGTTGTCTGTATGGAAGTTTTAGCATTTAAAAACCATTTAATTGTCAGTGTGATGCTGAGGATCTAACCCAGGGCCTCTTACAAGTGCTCTACCACTGAGCCCCAGCCCCTCAAGTTATCTGTAAATTTGCCATAAGCACAGCTACTGGAAGCAGCAGAGGGAACAGCTTTGCTCCTTGGGTAAGAAGGACTGAGCTGCAAATACCCTGTAGTGACTGGAGCTTATGCCATAATTTTTTGTGTGACCTCATCTCTACCCCTGGGAGAGTGGAAGGTAGACTAATGGTTAGAAAGGAGTAGTTAAGATATTTTTAGGGTCACTCACTGGTCCAGGATGAAACCTAATCTGAGTGGACATCTATGGATGAGAAATGCGGATATGGGACTGAGACCAGCTCTTAGGAAAGTGCCTGGGTGGGAATTACCCAGGGCTGTGGTAACACATGGGCTTATACTTCCTTTTCAGGAAAACACCATGGGAAGGAAGATGCAGACAAAAAGGTGACCAGTTATTAAAGAAGAAAACGGTAGCTTTGTAAGCAGATTTTTTTCTTTGTAAATGCTGTGATATGTAGCTATCGGTAAGCAATAAAGCGTTTTGGAAATGTTTGTCCCTCAGGTTGTTGCTTATTCCTCACTTATATCCCATATATGCAACTGAATTATAGTCCAATCCCTTCATAAAAGATTGATCCACTTTTTGACTGTTTTAATTTGCATTTTTTTCCTTTTGCTGGGCCTGAGACTGTTTGTTTAGATCCTTTTTGCCTAAAGCAGCAACTGTACACACCACCCCAGTTCCTCTCGTATAAAATTAATTGGAAGAGATGGAGATTTTATAAACCATAGACCTTTCTTTCAGAAGTGTCTGGTACTGGATATACTTGATAAAGGATGGGTATGAGTCTGGCATGGATTCTGGCTCACACCAAGTCACTTTAATCACATTACCTCTTGTGAACCACCATATAGAATACCTACTTAGTTTAGGCAATTAAGGCCAAGAAATGGGAAGGGGGGCTTGGGACACATGACACTGTAATGACTGAACCCAGGGGCACTGAGCAACATCTCCAGCTCTATTTTATTTAGAGATAGCACCTCACTGAGTTGTTTAGCTGTGGCTGAGGCTGGCTTGGAAATTATGATTCTTAGTCTCTCAGGCCACTGGGATTACACTGTATCTGGCTCCCTGTATTAGATTCTCTTAATCTTCTGGCCTCAGTTGATGGGATCACAGGTGTGCACCACCATACTAAGCTAGTTGATGGGATATAGGTGAGTGCCACCATGCCCAATTAGTAATGTCTTTAAACATACTTTGCTCAGGCTACTTGGAAACACTAATTATTGGGGCAAGTTTCAGATTTTGAGCTTTCTAGGCCCAGCCACTGCATTTTGGGAGGTGGGGAGGGCAGGATTGGATCAAGGGGCACTTTGCCATTGAGCTATATCCCCTGCACTTTGAGACAAGTACAAACTTGATGAGGCTGGTCTCCCAACTTTTAATCCTCCTGCCTCAGAATCCAGAGTTGTGGGAATTACAGGTGTTTGCTCCACGCCCAGCTTTATTTTTTAGGACTAGGGTTGTAGCTCAGTGGTAGAGTGCTTGCCTTGCATGTGTGAGGCTCTGGGTTCAGTCCCAGCACCACATAAAAATATTGTGTCCATCTACAACTAAAATATATTTTAAAAATTATTTTTTTGTTTATGTGGTGCTAAGAAATGAAACCAAACCCAGGGCCTCTCCAGTGCTAGGAGAGCACTCTATCACCCCAGTGCCCCCACCCTCTTAATTTCTTTTTAATATAGCAATTTTGCTTAGACTGGTTTTGAATTTACAATCCTGCCTTGGCTCTAGAGAAGCTGGGATCACTTCTACCAATAAGTTCCTCTTCAGTGAGTCACCTTTCCTAGCTTACCTGGTAGCCTTGAATATTGCTGACACAGCAGAAACTCCATAAATTCTGACCCAAGGAATTTAGATGCCTGAGAATGGCTTATAAACCAGGATTTAGTAAATGAATCTCATGATCCACTTGTTGACCCCAAACTGCCCTTTGTCCAGGAGTTTGAGTGTAAACATACTACTTGGGCAAATGACTAGTTCAACAAAATATTTGAGCCTTGTTGAACAGTTGGTCTCTTGGTTTTCACACTCATAGTTCACTACCAAGTAAGAGGCAGCAGAGTTGCAGAAGTAGTAATAATCTTAATAAGTCATTAAAATCTTACAAATCATTTCCAAAAGTAAATGTTTTCACTTTTTTTAAGTCAGTCCATCCTGACTTGTCCTTTGTCCTGGTTACATCATGGCAGGGATCTCTGAAGACACCGTGTCCAGGGGCTGCCAGTGGCAGTCCATCAGTGCATCGTACAGCTCCTCACTCTGTTCCATGAACTCCTTGTTGGCCTCAGTCACATCCAGCTGTGGCATGGGATCTGGGGGGAAAAGCAAGGATGGGGTCAGGGCAGACTAAGGCACAACTACAAGGGATCTGGACCCAGTTTCCTACTCCTAGGCCTCTTGGAGGGGCAAGATCGCCAGGATGAAAATTATAATGTTCTTAGAGAGAATATAATACCTATAATGGGGTTTGTTTTTTCTTGCATATTCATTAAAAGCTACAACTAGGGGCTGGGGTTGTGGCTAAGAGGTAGAGCGCTTACCTAGCATGCATGGGGCATGGGGTCCGAACCTCAGCACCAAATAAAGTAAAATAAAGACATTGTGTCCAACTAAAAAATAAACATTTTAAAAGAATAAATGCAAATACTTAAAAAAAAGATACACCTATATCTAGTAATCATGCCCTGGATTTTCTCGTCTGGTCCTCATTTCAAATTTGGGCTTGAAAAATCTGGTCAAAATCACTAATTTTGGGTTGGGGTTGTGCCTCAACCCAAAAATAAATAAATATTTTTAAAAATCACTGAGTTGGCCAGGCGCAGTGGTGCATGCCTGTAATCCCAGTGGCTAGGGAGGCTGAGAGGCAGGAGGATTGCGCGTTCAAAGCCAGCCTCAGCCAACAGTGAGGTATTAAGCAACTCGGTGAGACCCTGTTTCTAAAATAGGGTTGGGGAGGGCTGGGATTGTGGCTCAGTGGTAGAGCGCCTACCTAGCATGTATGAGGATCAGCAACACATAAAAAATAAATAAATGAAATAAAGGTATTGTGTCCAACTACAACTGAAAAAAAGGGGGGGGGCCTGGAGATGTGGCTCAGTGGTAGAATTCAATCCCCAGTACCCCCCTCAAAACAACAACAGCATTTAGTTGGGCCAAGGGTATAGCTCAGTAGTTAAGTGCTTGTCTCACAATGTGCAAAAGCCTGGGGTCTGATCCCCAGCACCACATACACAGTTGCTGTGTCCAAAGTGCCATCTCAAAGAACTGACAAATGTCTGATAAAAGAATTATGGTCTAAGGGCTGGGGCCGTAGCTTAGTGGCAGAGTGCTTGCCTTGTATATATGAGGCACTGGGTTCGATCCTCAGGACCACATAAAAATAAACAAAATAAAGATATGCTGTCCATCTACAACAACAACAACAACAACAAATTAAAAAGAAAAAAAGAAATATGGTCAAGATGCATGCTATAATCCCCATTACTTGGAAAGCTGAAGCAGCAGGATTGCAGGTTTGAGGCCAGCCAACCTCAGCAATTTAGGGAGTACCTGCACCCTGACAAAAAAGGGCTGAGGATGTACCTCAGTGGTAGAGTACCCTTGAGTTTGATTCCCAATACTGTGGGGGAAAAAAGACTGTCAATAAAGTGAAAAAATAACCTATGAAATGGGAGAAAATATTTGCAAGTCATACATGTGACAAGAGAATACTATCCAGAATAAGATATAAAGACTCTAACTCTAGTAACTCAACAATAAAGACAAACCAATTAAAAAATGGGCAAAGGCTAAGTAGACATTTTTCCAAAGATAAACAAATGACCAATAAAAGCATATGAAAAGATGATCAACACTATTAGTAATCAGCAAATCAAAACCACAATGATGGGCTGGGGTTGTGGTTCAGTGGTAGAGCACTCGCCTCGTAGGTGCGAGGCCCTGGGTTCAATCCTCAGCACCACATAAAAATAAATAAATAAAATCAATGTATAGGGGCTGGGGATGTGGCTCAAGCGGTAGCGCGCTCGCCTGGCATGCGTGCGGCCCGGGTTCGATCCTCAGCACCACATACAAATAAAGATGTTGTGTCCGCCGAAAACTAAACAATAAATATTAAAAAAAATTAAAAAAAAAAAAAAAACAATGAAAAAAAAAAAAAAAAATCTTAAAAAAAAAAAAAAAAACACAATGAGATACCCTGCAAACCCAGGCACTTAGAATGAAAAAGACCAAGTGCCAATGAGGATGTGGGGAAATTGGAATATCAAACATGTTGGAAGGAATATAAAACGTGGCAGGTAATATGGAAGTTTGGCAAAATAACTGGTTAAACAGTTCACCAAATAATCTACTCCTAGATATGTACCTAAAAGAAATGAAAACTTGGCTGGAGTTGTAGCTCAGTGGTAGAGCACTTGCCTTGCAAGTGTGAGGCACTGGGTTCCATCCTAATACCACATAAAAACAAATACAGGCATTGAATCCATATACAACTAAAAATAAGTAAATAAATGAAAACTTGTCTTTATTCACACCGAAGCTCATCCATGAATATTTATAATAGCACTACTCATAACAGCCCAAGGTGAAAACAACCCAAATGACTATCAATTGGTGAATGGCTAAACAAAATGCATGGAATATTGTTTGGTCCCCAAAGAAATGAAGTCCTGAAAGATTACAATGCAAATGACCCTTGAAAACACTATGCTAAGTGAAAGATGCTATTCAAAAGGGATCATATATTACATATGATTCTATTTATTTAAAACTCCTAGAAGCTTGATGTGGTGGTGCATACCTCTAATCCCAGCTATTCTCAAGGTTGAGGCAGGAGGACTGTAAATCCAAGGCTAGCCTCAGCAATTTAGGCCCTAACAAATTTAGCAAAATCCTGTCTCAAAAAAAGATAAATAATAAAAAGGGTTGGGATGTGGCTCAGTGGTATAGCACTTCTAGGTTCAACCCCTAGTAACCCCGCCCCAAAGAAAGTCCAGACAAAAAGTATACGAGTGGTTTTCAGGGGCTGGAAGAGGGGTATACAGAGTGACTGCTAATGGTTGCAGGGTTTCTTTTAGGGATGAGAAAATGTTCTGGAACCAGTAGTAGTGGATGCACAACTTTGTGACTATTTGAAAAACTACCGAATTGTGTGGACATTTTCCAAGGGATCTGCACTCACACCTCTGGCTTCACGCTTTGCCATTATCATGTATGTGTCTGGCTTTCTCAGAAGAATGTAAATTCCTCCAGAGCAGACTTTACCTTGCATTCCTCAGAATCTAGCTCAAGTACAATGCCAACCATAAAGCAATCACATGATAACCCTTGACAGAGGAATGAATGAATAAACTCTTTCTTACCTTCCAATGCATCATCTCCAACTTCTTCATATGTCTGTCAAGAGACCAGAAAGGGAAGAGATGAACATGATGAAATCCTAGCCTGTGGGCATAGTGGCTTGTTTTTAATAAAAATTGGGTCACTT